CCAACACGACGTGCACTTTTTCGACATCTCAACCTCCAAAAGTGGTCCGACCATGGCGTGTTTTGTATATTTTGACTTGGAAATGTGCTTCGCGCCACAACGGTGTGCAATTTTTCGACATCTCAACTTCCAAAAGTGGTCCGAGAACGGTGTGTTTTGTACATTTTGACTTGGAAATGTGCTTTGCGCCACAACGGCATGCACTTTTTCGACATCTCAACTACCAACACTGCCCCGAACCCCTCAGTTTTTAACCCATTTTACTTCCAAATGTGCTTCGCGCCACAACGGCGTGCACTTTTTCGGCATCTCAACTTCCAAAGGTGGTCCGCACCTGGTGTGCTTTGTACATTTTGACTTCGAAATCGGCTTGGCGCCACAACGGCGTGCAACTTTTCATCGCTCATCTCCCCAGATGTCTCCGCACGCGCCGCTTTAGCGAGCCTACTTTTCAACCCTCCGGAGCCACAAAACCACGAAAAAACACAATGTTTTGCGACTTTCCTACCTATTCGCGCACCTGCATCTTCTTTCTTCTGATCTTTTCTCTTCTGACTCTTCTCCCTGCGGGCTTCTTTTTCATCTCTCCATATTGTCTTTGACTTCTAAACTTCCTTCGGCCAAATCAAACAGTAGGCTACAGTAGGTTTCTTTCAGGGCGTCGACGCCATCACAAACTGTCTGTTTTCAGGCCCCACTGCACTGCCGACCTTGGGAGGCTTTCTCTGGTCCCGTGAATCATCACCCATGACCTGAAGCAAATACTTTACGAGCTGCGCAAAACCCTAGAGGCATCTAAGACATTCTGCAACGGCTCAGCTTTGCGCATCTATGATGAATTGCACTTGGACCTGCACCGGATCTGAAGCGATGATAATTCTTTCGCCTACCTTCTTCTCTCTTCTCACCATTAGTTCCGCTAAGACAGTCCAACGAGCTCCGAAAGGTGGCTCAGTGCCAAGTCTCAACTTCTCAGCATGAGATGTTGCTGTTTGTTAACTTGCACTGCAAAAAAAATCCCATAGAGCCCGCCTTTCGATCTCGGCTCCGTGTTGCGCGAAGCACACCATGTAGAACCTCCATCGCCTGTCCAACAGCTGATATTGCTGTTGCCAGCCCGCCCTGGGCCCACTGTGATGGACAGGCATCTTTGGAAATGGTCAATGAAAGGACCGGATAACCCCACAAGACAACTTCTTCCAATAATAAGCACCAAATGGACCAAATGTTGTAGCGGGGACGGGGAAGGAAGGAAAGACAAAGGAGGTGGTGGAGGATCGAGAAGTTAAACAAAATTGTGTGTGTGTGCGTGTGTGTGTGTGGAACATCTGTAAAGATGTAAAACTTCTTTTGGTTTCATGGTTGCTTGGTTTTATCAACTTAAAACAATGCAGGGGGCAGTGGCCCACTCATGAGTCCACTGCCAACGAAGCTACTCATGAGTTGGGAGGATATCGGGACTGATCATCCCGACGTACCTGCAATTTTGTCAAACCCAATTTTGCTGCAATGGGACGTGGCTAACCCAAGAACCACCTTGCCGATTTTTTCAAACAATTTCAAATAAAACCAAACCTTCAGCTTCCACTCCATGTCATTTCCGTGCCTGTACGGTTTTCGCAATCTGTCATTCAGGAACATGTCACGGGCTTTGTCAGGTGATAAGAGTTTGTTTTGCACGTAAGACGCACTCCCCACAACCAATTCGAAAAGCTGATTCCGAACAAGTGTGTCTCCCACAACGCATTTCGACACGATGTTGTGGTCCCCTTGGGGAATGCTTGTCTAAGCAGGAAAGTCAATTCTCGATCCGATCTTGGAATTTACAGTTTTCAACCTAGTAATTCGTTTAAGTAATGTGAAGAAGCTGGCCTTTTTTCAGGGTCTCACCCTGTCGGTCGAGAGTGTGTGTTGAACAGCTGGCCGCTGCGATTGGCATCACCCTTTTGTGCAGTATGGGATTTAAGCCTTGGAGGAGTAGAACACTGAGAGCCGCGACAACAACCTTCCTGTTGCTTCAGAGACAGACCGCAGCCATTTTTACATGACAATCCAGGCAATAGGACATGCTTGCAGGTATGGTGATTCTTTCTTTTTATGGTCGTTGGTGACGTGTAGTTGTGCATGTAATTCAGGGGTTGACTGCTTAAGCCGTCCATAGGGTTGACCTGACGACAGAGGGCCTCGAGCCTGATCACGACCAATGCATTGATGTGCGGATGCGTCATAAGAGTATGTGTTAGGCCTTATTTATTTTATTTTCACCTGACCTCCTGCGCCCGACATGTTTCCTTTCTGGAGCTCCCGTGCCTGGCCTTCCCAGCAAGCTCCAACAGATGGTGCCTGGAACCAGATGATGCAGACCTCCCAGATGACGACGCCGATGATGCCCAGTCCCCAGGCTCAGTTTTGTGGTCCGGACCCTATGACTTCACAGTCCCAAGCTCAGATCCAAAATGCCCTCAACCAACAAAACGCCTTACTTCACCAGAATATCCAAGCCCAGTACATGACCCATCTACACCACCTCCAACAACTCCAGGCCAATCAATCCTCTCCACGTTCACCTGGTCCTCAACCTTCACCCACCATTCCAGCGCAATCCAACCCACCTGAACCTTCCATGACCTCGCGTCCAACACCGTCCCCTACTCCATCCCAACCCCCTGCCACAGGAACCCAGGAGACCAGTCAACGGTCTCCGGACACACAGGGGCTTGTCGAGCAAGTCACAAAAACAATCCAAGCAGGGTTCCAGGCAGTGGTGGATTCCAACGCAGAGAGGAACCATCCTCAGCCATCAGCGACAGTCAACTCTCCACAGGCCACCATGCCAACCCCGTCCAGGGAGGAAGGACCTCCTGCTGCCTGTCCAACGCCGCTCCATGGTGCGCCGTCGCCACATCAGTCCTTCTCGGTACCAGGGGCCATTCCGATCAACCAACCAAGTGGCGGCCTTCCATTTACCGGCCATCCAGCATCAGGCTTCCAGTCACAGGGACTCACGATCCCTATCCCTCACCCTCGTCCACCTCCTTTCCATCCATCTCAGCACCTTCCACGTCGACCCATGGCCACCTTCAAAGGCACACCAGCCTCTAGCTACCAGAAGCACCACAGGGAGGGAACGCGCAGCCCTTCTCGTGACAAATCACCTCGGCATTCAGACAAAAGGGCGGTTTCCCTCCCAGAAGTCCACGCAGAGACCCACAGTCACGTCGACGACGCCGCTCCAGGTCGCACTCTCCCCGCTCCAGGGACAAACCGGTGACATTGCGTTCGGCATCTGGACGCGGCCCTCATTCTGGCCGTGACAGCCGGTCCCGCTCCAAACATCGTTCTCGCCAGCCATCCAGGTCAGTGCCACCACCTGAGCCTGAATATCCTCCTTCCCATCAGCATCATGGCTATGATGAGCCTCAGGACTACTCGTCATGGCACTCCCATTCTCAACACTGGTCCTCCTCCGATCAGTATAATGACGATGAGTGGGAATCCTGGGGTACATGGAAAGACCCGGACCCTCCTCAGCCACGGCAGAAGAAGTCCTGGAAACCTCATGACCCACCTCGTCACTCTTCTCACCGTCCAAAACCACACAGATCCACCTCCCGCCCACTCACTGAATTTTCCCAGCTTTCCAAGTCCAAGAAACCTCAAAAGTGGGACGAACGTTCAACAACGTCCACCGCGGTTCCTCCAGGCAAGGTCCGATTGTCGGTGAAAGACACCACAAAACAGGAATGGATTGCCGATGTCAAATTCTGCCTGAACCATCCACATCGGATGCGAGCGTGCAATGAACTGGCGGACAGTGAACGTCCTGTACTTCAGAGATACTCAGATCAGGACGAACACCAGGACTTTCGTGACATGCTGAAGGAATTTGATGCTTCCATCCCAGTGTGGGTGCTTGATGAAGCGGCAGCCGTCATGGGGTCGGTCGAACTGTACAATGACATCAATGCAGATATGCTCCAGATTCTTGATCTTCCCAAGACATCGCACAAAGCATTGATCATCAAGGTACATGGCCTTCCCCGCTTTCCTCAACCTGAACCCTTTAAGGGCCAGGCGACCCATACCTGGGCTCTGATCCACGGCACACCTACCGAGGCAGCTCAGGGAATCCTCAGCGAGGGCAAAATCCGTCCAGCAAACTGGACAAAGCACGCTGACTTGGCCAGGTGTGAACTGCCCACCTTTGGAGCATACTACCTTGGCAGGGAGGTTACCAACGCCTTAAACTTCCCAGATTGGGCCAAAGTGGAACTCGTGTCCCAAGCGAACTTGAAAGGGAAAGGCCAGCAAAGGATGCTCATTGGAGCAATGTACCAAGGGGCAATGCCACACACTCGATTTCAGGCGGGGGGCAACGAGAAATGTCAACTCCAGGTGGCAAAAGTTGGCATCGTCACCACGTCAGAGAAGTACACGATTGCCCATAGCAACCATGTTGGGGTACATTTTGTGGCCTTTCGGTGGCAGCATCACCACACCCCAGTGGAACAGGAAGAGTCGTCTGAGGAGCACAGGGACTACTACAGACGCAGCGACTACTACCGGCGACACCAGGATCGTGAACCTGATGCATCTGAACCAGATTGGTCTGCCAATAATCCATGAACAGCGGGCCTGTAGGTGTACATGTTAATTTCCATTACCGGAAACCGGTGGTGATTTTCTAGGTATATCCTGGACGCAACCCTCTTCAAAACAACTTGGGAAACCCCGCTGCTTGGAATTCACTGTGGCTCCATTGTGTTAGGTCCATGTGGTGATTACTTGGGTTTACTTGGGAAACTTGGATTTGGTTTCTTGATCACTAGGGGATATTTTCACGAAACCGTGGTTTGGCGCTGTTTGGCGTCCCAATTGCTGTCAACTTCCTTGTGGGAATTTCTAATGTTGACCCTCCAACCCTTCAGGTGATGTCCCTTCCCTTCCCCTTGATACCCTTGTGAAACATTGATCCCAGCTTGGCTCAAAAAGAACTCCTATCAGGTAGGAATCAAAGACTCGCCTTGGAACAGAGATGGCCGACTCTGATCGATCCAGATCGCCAGTGCACGCTCGTAATCGCCCTGACCAACGAAGTGCACGGCCACCAGCTCAGCTTCCGGGCTTTCCACGATGGCGCGGCCCTATGGGAGCAGCAGTGCGGGCCTCCATGAACATGCGTGGACCTCAGATGACACCATGGATGCATTGTCCGCCAGGAACTTATGGGTGTGGACCTTGTTGTATGACACCATCGTGGGCAGGTTCCCAATTCCCTCCAACACCACCCTCCACACCACGCTCATCCACTCCCTATCCACGACCCCTAGCCCCTCAATTGTCCCAATGCCCTCCAACGCAACCGTGCACTCCGTCATTCTCACCATCTCAGCCGAGATCCACAGGCTCGTCGCCTATGCAGTCTAGCCCAGTACCTCAGAATCATGAGGCTCCAAGGGTATACGGCTTCGATCTAAACACCAGCTGGCAACCGGACAAGGATCACTATGACAATCAAAAGATCAACGGCCTAACCCTTCCACGAAGCATTCGACCGTCGGCTTTTACCCAAAAGCTGGACATTGAAATGTGCTTCGCGCCACAACGGCGTGCAATTTTTCATTTCTCATCTGGCCAGATGGCTCCGCACCCGCCGCTTTAGCGAGCCTACTTTTCGACCCTCCGGAGCCACAAATCATTGGAAAAACACAGGGAATCGCGACTTTCCTACCTTTTCGCGCATCTTCATCTTCTTTCTTCTTACTCTTTCTCTTCTACTCTTCTTTCTTCTAATCTTTCTCTTCTCTCTGCCTCTTCCCTGCTCTGCTTTTCATCTGTCCATATTGTTGGAAGTTTGACTTCATATTTATATTTCCCCAACAGCAGAATGCTTTGGGGTCTTCAGCCATAGTAAAGGTTTCGGAGCAGACCGGAGCAGCTCCAAAACCCATTCCCCCAAGGTTCCCAGGTTCCAAGTAAAGGTTCCCATTTAAAGGTTTCCAAGTAAAGGTTCCCAAGGTTCCTCAAGGTTCCCTCAAGGTTCCAAAAAGGTTCCCAAAAGGTTCCCTCAAGTCCCTCAAGGTTCCTTCAAGGTTCCCTGCAAGGTTCCCAAGTTTTCCAAGTAAAGGTTGTCAAGGTTCCCAAGATTATTATGTAAAGGTTCCCAAGTAAACGTGGTCCAGGTTCCCAAGGTGACATTGTAAAGGTTTCTATAAGATTCCCAAGGTATCCCAAGGTTAGATTGTCAAGGTTCCCTCAAGGTTCCCAAGGTTACATTGTAAAGGTTCTCAAGGGTTCCAAGGTAATATTGTCAAGGTTTCCTCAAGCTTTCCAAGGTTGCATTGTAAAGGTTCCCTCAAGGTTCCCAAGTTTTCCACGTAAATCTTCTCAAGGTCCCCAAGGTTATTATGTAAAGGTTCCCAAGTAAATGTCGTTCAGGTTTCCAAGGTGACATTGTAAGGGTTTCTATACGTATATAAGTTTCCCAAGGTTAGATTGTCAAGGTTCCCTCAAGGTTCCCAAGGTTTAACCGCAAAGGTTTCCTCAAGGTTTTCAAGGTTTCCTAGTGAACGTTCTCAAGGTTCTCAAGGTTGCATTGTAAAGATTGCCTCAAGCTTCCCAAGGTTGCATTGTAAAGGTTCCCTCAAGATTCCCAAGTTTCCCAAGTAAAGGTTGTCAAGGTTCCCAAGGTTGTATTGTAAAGGTTCCCTCAAGGTTCCCAAGTTTTCCACGTAAATGTTCTTAAGGTCCCCAAGGTTATTATGTAAAGGTTCCCAAATAAATGTCGTTCAGGTTTCCAAGGTGACATTGTAAGGTTTTCTATAAGTTTCCCAAGGTTAGATTGTCAAGGTTCCCTCAAGGTTCCCAAGGTTTAACCGCAAAGTTTTCCTGAAGGTTTTCAAGGTTTCCTAGTAAACGTTCTCAAGGTTCCCAAGGTTGCATTGTAAAGGTTGCCTCAAGCTTCCCAAGGTTACATTGTCAAGGTTTCCTCAAGCTTTCCAACAGTACAAGGGTACAAAGTAAATGTCTCAAGTTTCCCAAGAATACAGACCTTCGAAACCTCTAGACCTACTTGGGTCAGCGTCCAGGACATCGTCCTTAACAAACCAAAAGACCGTCCACGCAACCAAGTCAATCAATCCCAGAGCTCAGCCACTTTTACAGCACACAAACAAGAAACAGAAATGTCTCTGCTCATGTCGCTATGGTTCTTGTTGATGTGTCACTCCTTGACACAAAACAGATGCGGAGTCGCCAGTTGACATCTTTCTGTCAACTTCACAAAAGCGATCAAAAACACATGTCGTCACAAAAAGTCTTTACATCAAGACATGGTTTGTTTGTTCAAATAAGTTTGAGTGTTTTTCCCCAACAGCAGAATGCTTTGGGGTCTTCAGCCATAGTAAAGGTTTCGGAGCAGACCGGAGCAGCTCCAAAACCCATTCCCCCAAGGTTCCCAGGTTCCAAGTAAAGGTTCCCATTTAAAGGTTCCCAAGTAAAGGTTCCCAAGGTTCCTCAAGGTCCCTCAAGGTTCCAAAAAGGTTCCCAAAAGGTTCCCTCAAGTCCCTCAAGGTTCCTTCAAGGTTCCCTGCAAGGTTCCCAAGTTTTCCAAGTAAAGGTTGTCAAGGTTCCAAAGATTATTATGTAAAGGTTCCCAAGTAAACGTGGTCCAGGTTCCCAAGGTGACATTGTAAAGGTTTCTATAAGATTCCCAAGGTATCCCAAAGTTAGATTGTCAAGGTTCCCTCAAGGTTTCTTCAAGGTTCCCTGAAGGTTTCTTGAAGGTTTCCTCAAGGTTCCCTGAAGGTTCCCAAGTTTTCCAAGGTTCCCAAGGTTGTATTGTAAAGGTTCCCTCAAGGTTCCCAAGGTTACATTGTAAAGGTTCTCAAGGGTTCCAAGGTAATATTGTCAAGGTTTCCTCAAGCTTTCCAAGGTTGCATTGTAAAGGTTCCCTCAAGGTTCCCAAGGTTACATTGTAAAGGTTCTCAAGGGTTCCAAGGTTATATTGTCAAGGTTTCCTCAAGCTTTCCAAGGTTGCATTGTAAAGGTTCCCTCAAGATTCCCAAGTTTCCCAAGTAAAGGTTGTCAAGGTTCCCAAGGTTGTATTGTAAAGGTTCCCTCAAGGTTCCCAAGTTTTCCACGTAAATGTTCTCAAGGTCCCCAAGGTTATTATGTAAAGGTTCCCAAGTAAATGTCGTTCAGGTTTCCAAGGTGACATTGTAAGGTTTTCTATAAGTTTCCCAAGGTTAGATTGTCAAGGTTCCCTCAAGGTTCCCAAGGTTTAACCGCAAAGGTTTCCTCAAGGTTTTCAAGGTTTCCTAGTGAACGATCTCAAGGTTCTCAAGGTTGCATTGTAAAGGTTGCCTCAAGCTTCCCAAGGTTGCATTGTAAAGGTTCCCTCAAGATTCCCAAGTTTCCCAAGTAAAGGTTGTCAAGGTTCCCAAGGTTGTATTGTAAAGGTTCCCCCAAGGTTCCCAAGTTTTCCACGTAAATGTTCTCAAGGTCCCCAAGGTTATTATGTAAAGGTTCCCAAGTAAATGTCGTTCAGGTTTCCAAGGTGACATTGTAAGGGTTTCTATACGTATATAAGTTTCCCAAGGTTAGATTGTCAAGGTTCCCTCAAGGTTCCCAAGGTTTAACCGCAAAGGTTTCCTCAAGGTTTTCAAGGTTTCCTAGTGAACGTTCTCAAGGTTCTCAAGGTTGCATTGTAAAGATTGCCTCAAGCTTCCCAAGGTTGCATTGTAAAGGTTCCCTCAAGATTCCCAAGTTTCCCAAGTAAAGGTTGTCAAGGTTCCCAAGGTTGTATTGTAAAGGTTCCCTCAAGGTTCCCAAGTTTTCCACGTAAATGTTCTTAAGGTCCCCAAGGTTATTATGTAAAGGTTCCCAAGTAGTAATATTCGTCGTAATATATTAATTTCTTGAAGAAATTTGAATGCGGCTACACGCGCGGAACCCGCGAAAAACGCAGACGCGCATGACGCGCATTCCCAAGGTTACATTGTAAAGGTTCTCAAGGGTTCCAAGGTTATATTGTCAAGGTTTCCTCAAGCTTCCAAGGTTGCATTGTAAAGGTTCCGTAAAGATTCCCAAGTTTCCCAAGTAAAGGTTGTCAAGGTTCCCAAGGTTGTATTGTAAAGGTTCCCTCAAGGTTCCCAAGTTTTCCACGTAAATGTTCTCAAGGTCCCCAAGGTTATTATGTAAAGGTTCCCAAGTAGTAATATTCGTCGTAATATATTAATTTCTTGAAGAAATTTGAATGCGGCTACACGCGCGGAACCCGCGAAAAACGCAGACGCGCATGACGCGCATAACGCCCGGAAACCGCGCGAAACATAGACGCGCGGAACCCGCGCGTACTATTAATACTTCTAGTAGTAGTAGTAGTAGTAGTAGTCGTAGTAGTAGTAGTAGTACTAGTAGTACTAGTAGTAGTCGTCGTCGTCGTAGTCGTCGTAGTCGTCGTAGTCGTCGTAGTCGTCGTAGTCGTCGTAGTCGTCGTAGTCGTAGTGGTAGTGGTAGTGGTGGTGGTGGTGGTGGTCATAGTAGTAGTAGTAGTAGTAGCAGTAGTAGTAGTAGTAGTAGTCGTAGTCGTAGTCGTAGTAGTAGCAGTAGCAGTAGCAGTAGTAGGAGTAGTAGTAGTAGTAGTAGGAGTAGCAGTAGCAGTAGCAGTAGCAGTAGCAGTAGTAGGAGTAGTAGTAGTAGTAGTAGTAGGAGTAGCAGTAGCAGTAGCAGTAGCAGTAGCAGTCGCAGTCGCAGTCGCAGTAGCAGTAGCAGTAGGAGTAGTAGTAGTAGTAGTAGTAGTCGTAGTAGTCGTAGTAGTCGTAGTAGTAGTCGTAGTAGTAGTCGTAGTAGTACTAGTAGTAGTAGTAGTAGTAGTCGTCGTCGTCGTAGTAGTAGTAGTGAAGGAGTAGTGAAGTAAATAGTAGCAGTAGTAGCAGTAGTAGCAGGAGTAGTAGTAGCCGTCGTCGTCGTCGTCGTCGTAGTCGTCGTAGTAGTAATGTAGTAATAAAGTAGTAGTAAAGTAGTAGTAGTAGTAGTAGTAGTCGTAGTCGTAGTCGTAGTCGTAGTCGTAGTCGTAGTCTTAGTCGTAGTCGTAGTCGTAGTCGTCGTAGTAGTAGTAGTAGTAGTAGTCGTAGTCGTAGTCGTAGTAGTAGCAGTAGCAGTAGCAGTAGCAGTAGGAGTAACAGGAGTAGTAGGAGCAGTAGGAGTAGTAGTAGTAGTAGTTATTAGTAGTAGTTATTAGTAGTAGTTATTAGTAGTAGTTATTAGTAGTAGTTAGTAGTAGTTAGTAGTAGTTAGTAGTAGTTAGTAGTAGTTAGTAGTAGCTAGTACTAGCTAGTAGTAGCTAGTAGTAGCTAGTAGTAGTAGTAGTAGTAGCAGTAGTAGTACTAGCAGTAGTAGTAGTAGTAGTAGTTTTAGTTATTAGTAGTAGTTATTAGTAGTAGTTAGTAGTAGTTATTAGTAGTAGTTATTAGTAGTAGTTAGTAGTAGTTAGTAGTAGTTAGTAGTAGTTAGTAGTAGTTAGTAGTAGCTAGTAGTAGCTAGTAGTAGCTAGTAGTAGCTAGTAGTAGTAGTAGTAGTAGCAGTAGTAGTAGTAGTAGTAGTAGTCGTCGTAGTAGTAGTCGTAGTAGTAGTAGCAGTAGCAGTAGCAGTAGGAGTAGTAGGAGTAGTAGGAGTAGTAGGAGTAGTAGGAGTAGTAGTAGTAGTAGTAGTAGTAAGAATAGTAGTAAGAATAGTAGTAGTACGGGGGGCCGGCGGGCAGGACGGCGCAAAAATGCACTGCATCGCTTGGTCATGAAACAAAAACTACCACGCTTATATGGAATTACTGTTTGGGATCTACGGCCGCTGCTTTCTTGCTGTTGGGGATATTCTTTGGGCTTATTTTATATATAATTATATATATATCTTAAATTTTAAACATTTCAGAAAATTTCGCTTTCAAAAAAAGAATCCTGGCAGGCAGCAGCAGTGGCAAGGTTCCCAGGAAGAGGTTCCCAAGCAAGGGTTCCCAGCAAGAGGTTCCCAAGCAAGGTTCCCAGGAACAGGTCGCAAGCAAGGCCCATGCAAGGGTTCCCAGGAAGGCAAGCAAGGTTTTCAGGAAGAGGTTCCCAAGCAAGGTTCCCACGAATAGGTTTTGCAAGCACGGATTTCAGGAACTGTTTTCAAGGTTTCCAGGCAACATTTCCGAAGCAAGATTTCCAGGAACATGTTTTTCCCGAACAAAACCAAGGTTTGCAGAACAGGTTTTCAAGCACGTGTTTCCAGGAAGAGGTTTCCGGGAAGAAGTGTCCAAGCAAGGTTCCCAGCAAGCTGGTTCCCAAGTAATGTTTTCAGGAAGAGGTTCCCAAGCAAGGTTCCCAGCCACAGGTTCCCAGGAACAGGTGCCCATACAAGGTTCCCAAAAACTGGTTCACAGGTAAGGTTCCCAAGCGCGTTCCCAAGCAAGGTTCCCAGGAAGAGGTTCCCAAGCAAGGTTCCCAAGCAACAGGTTCCCAGGAACGGGTTCCCAGGAACAGGTTCCCAAACAAGTTTCACAAGTAAGGTTCCCGGGAAAAGTTCCCAGGAAATGTTTCCAGGAAAAGGTTCTCAAGCAAGGTTCCCAGGAACAGAGTCTCAAGCAAGGTTGCTAGGAAAAGGTTCTCAAGCAAGGTTCCCTGGGAACCCTTGCTCCTGGAAATTTTGCGTGGGAACCAGCTCTTCCTGGGAACGCTTGCTTGAGAACCTGTTCCTGCGAGCTTTGTTCCTGCTTGGAACTGCTTGGAAACGGTTCCTGGGACCCTGCTTGGGAAACGTTTTTGGGAACCGTACTTGCAAGCGGTTCCTAAGAACCTAACCTTGCTTGGGAACCTCTTCCTGGATACCTGCTTGGGAGCCTCTTCCTGGAAACTTGCTTGGGAACGTTTTTCCCCAACAGCGTACGTAAGCTTGGGGTCTGCAGCCACCCCAAGAACACGATTTCCAATCAATTTTTCCAGGAACAGGTTCGCAAGCAAGGTTACCAGGAACGATTCCCAAGCCATGTTCCCAAGAACAGGTTCCCAGGCAAGGTTCCCAAGCAAGGGTTCCAGATACAGTTGCCAAGCAAGGCTCCCAGGAACAGGTTCCCAAGCAAGGTTCCCAGGAACAGGTTTCCAAGAAAAGGTTGCAAAAAAGGTTCCAAAGAATAGGTTCGCAAGCAAGGGGGTTCCAGGCAAGGTTCCTGGGAACAGGTTTCCAAGCAAGGTTCGCAAGACCAGGTTCCCAGGCAAGGTTCGCAAGAACAGGTTTACAAGCAAGGGTTCCAAGAACAGTGCCTCAACTTGTTCCAAGAACAGGTTTCCTTGCAGGGAGGTTACCAAGCAAGGTCCTTGGGAACAGGTTCCCAAGCAAGGTTTCCACGAACAGGTCCCCAAGCAAGGTTCCCAAGGACAGGTTTGCAAGCAAGCTTCGCAAGAACAGGTTCTCAAGCAAGGGTTCGAAGAACAGGTTCCCAAGATTTGGTTCGGGTTCCGAGAACAAATTCTCTAGGAAGGTTCCGAGCAATAGGTTGCCAGCACGGTTCCCACGAACACGTTCCCAAGCATGGTTTCAGGTTGCTCATGTTCCCAGGAACAGCTTTCCAAGAACAACTGGCAAAGCGAAATTTTGAAGAACATCTGCAAGCAAGGTTGGAAGCAAGAACAGAATCCCAAGCAAGGTTCCGAAGGACAGGTTCCTAAACAAGGGTCCCAAGCAAAGTTACGAAAAAACAGGTTCCCGAGCAAGGTCCCAATGAACAGGTTTGAAGCAAGCAGGCAAAGTTTCCAAGAACAGGTTCACAAGAGAGAGTTCCCAAGAACAGGTTACCAGGCAATGCTCCCAAGAGCAGGTTCCTAAGAATAGGCTCCCAAGAACAGGTTCCCAAGCAAATTTCCGATAAACAAGTGTCAAGCAACGCGTCCAAGAACAGTTGCCCAGGCAAGGTTCCAAGAGCATTGAACAGCAGAATCAGAATACTGCAAAGTTTGAAGAATTGTTCCAATAACGAAACGGAGAGATTGAAGAAGAACTAGTTTTGCTTCAAAAAATGATACGGCACTCGCACATGGATAAAAACACTAGACGACAGCGTGGCATGAAAGAAAGCAGGAGGGAGGAGACGAGAAGATAATACACAAGAAAAATGATGATGGTGATGACGATGACGACAATGATGATGGCGATGACGATGACGAGGATGAATGGCGATGGAGATGAGGATGAATGATAGCTGACGCAAGTCAAATATCATATATCCACGATTTCATGCCTGTTTTGTCCCTGCAGAGGGTTTGCTCCAGGGCTGGCACCTGAGCGACAGTCAGAATCAAAAGACATGTTGTCTTTACACAGCGGAAAAAATACACAGAGAAGATTTTACACACAGAAGCCAGCAGCAGCAGCAGCAGCAGGCAGAACCCAGAAGCACAAGGCAGAACCAAGCACAAGCAGGCAGAGCCTGCCACAAGCGGGCAAAGCCCAGCACAAGTGAGTTGTGAGAGAGTTGTGCGTGAGAGAGTTGTGTGTGAGAGAGTTGTGCGGCGGAGGGCGGGAGGAGGCAGGAGGCAGGCGGGAGTGCACAACCAAAGATGTGGGGAAAAACTCATTTCGTGAGCGCGAATCTCCCCCCAGCGGATTGTTTTGTAAAGGGAATGGGGTGGGCAACGTCCAACACATCAAACATCCAGAGTCTAAGTCCCACTTCATTATATATCATATAATATATATATAATATATAATCATATTTCATATATATCATTAGGATACCATATGTATCATATATATGATATATTCATTAGGATGCAATGGCTTGATGTTTTTCCGCGCTGTTCATGGCTGGTTGCCCAGGTGAAACTCTCGAGCTGAAGAAATATGTACCGATCTGCAGAGAAATCTGAAGCATCCTGCAGTCTCTGAAACAAGATAATAACATGCAGAGAAAACAATTTGCAGTAACAATGCACGTGGCACCGTGCCCAGGAAACTGGATGCTCAAGCATAGAGCAATCTTGAAAGGCTGCCTCTCAAGCAATGGCAAATTTAAATCTTCGCCGATGCTGGCCTTACAGAATTCAGGCTTCGCATCAGCATCAGCTGAAATAGTTGTCAACAAGATTCAGCAAGTCAAACACCCAAGTCCGTGAATGTTGAGAGATTCAACAAGATTCAACAAGATTCAACAAGATTCAACAAGATTTATCATATTTATCATTAGAATGTTGAAAGTCTTGAAAAACCTTGAAGATCCGGGGAAACATTAAAACAACATAAAACAACCACTTAGTTATGAGCTGTTTCAGCGATTTCAGGCCGCAGCTGGAATAGATTGCGGAGAGCATCCGTATGGGAACATCCTGAGCCAAATTCGTGGGTTGGAGTCAAGCAGCTCTATCAGCACACAGGCAGAGCAATGATTAAGATAGGCAAAGACCATCAAAGACCGGGAGAGTCGTCTCGTTGGAATGACACACTTCAAACAAAAATAACAAAAACATCGACAAAGATGGGAAAGCCATGGAAAGCCAATCACAACAGATGGAACACACGTGAGCTCACGTGGCAAAGAACATGAGGGCGTGGCCATGGACTTTGAAGACTTGGATCTCCTGGGACATGGACGTTGAAAAAACGTGTTCATAGTTCAGTTGGTTCAGTTGCGCCATGAGATCCAAACAAAGTGCAGCAAACGTGAAGCTTTAAGACTAGAAATCTAAACCTTTAAAGACTCGATTCTCTTCCTGTCTTACGGAAAAGAATGCCTTACATTAGATCATTAGTGCTTACTTTGTTCTGGAAATCTGGTCGTCTTGCAACCTGTCATGAGTGACATGCATTGGCTCATTTCATTTTGCAATTTAAAATGTGCCGATCTGGGCTGGGTTCATGTCGTTGGGACCCCGTGCCCCTTCTTGCGCTTTGCATCTTGAGGCACCTGCGTGAAACCAATGTCCACATGACCGTCCTTCCATCTCCATGCAATGTGGACAGTGCAATGCTCCGCTCAAAGGCAAACACGCCAGACGACGCCATCTGGCATCACATTAAGCAATATTGCATCACCATGAGCTGCCATTTTTTCGCGCCGCACAGTCTCTGAAGTTTGGAATTCGTTTTACAAATGTTTCCAGCATATCAGCATATCTGGCAAGCTTCCTGCATATTCCTGCATCTTCCTGCCTACGTTGACTCCACCACATTGCTCTCATCTTTGGATAAACTCAAGGTGTCCAAGAGCTAAACACTCCAAAACATTGCTGATTGTGAGCATGTTTCTTAAAGAATGATGATGCTATATATGCTATCAAGCATGTTTGGGGGGTTTTGTGGAAATCCAATGAGCCAAACATATTTGCACATCCTTCGTGTGCGCCGAAGCTGATCTCTGCCGTTTGAGATCGCCTTTCATCCTTTCCGCTCTGCCCCTTCAGTGGATCTAGGAATCCTCAGAACTTTGTAGAGCACAGCAGCACATCTGTCGAATGATGATGTCGATGCTAAGCCATGGACCTTGGCAACTTCACCCTTGACACAAACGTAGATGTAGTGGACGCTATCCTTGTCGTCTGCAGACAAAGAGGCAGTCATACCTTGCCAACGAGATCGACAAAGCACAAACTCAAAAGAACAACGAAGCAGAGACCCCACTGAGGAGTTATGCAAGTTTGCCGGTGGCAGGCTGCCTTCAAAGGTCAGGATCTGCACAACCAAAAAGCATTCTAGGCTATGTACCCATCATTGGCTTCTGCACGGTATAGGTCTTGACGTTCCATCCAAACTCCTCGGTAGACTGAGCTAACTGATCAGGCAACCGAGCAGAGATTGAAACATGAATGAACTCCTGGATGATGTCACACTAAAGTCCAACGGTTCCTATGAAAAACATGCCGAAAAAACGCGTTAGATGAACTTCTGTGATTCTTTAAATCGAACAAACGTGAGCTGTTTTTGTAGCGACAAAGTTGTTGTTTTTGGTCAAGACACTGGCCGCTGCAGATAGGTCAGGCGATAGGAGGGCTGACCGTGGGACACGGCAATGTAGACGCCGTTGGGCTGCAAAACCCTGGCAACCTGCAACAATTTGGCAAGTGAAGCCATTGGGGATCACAATGATCACAAGAATGGTCAAAAAACTTAAGAGCAAATTCAATAACACGTACAACACGTACAACACGTGTTATAACGTAAAGGACGGAAATTCACTGGGCAGTCAATTCACTTGGTCTCCTGTATTCTCCCGGTTTCAAAGGCGGAGTACAGTCCAATTCGAAAAGTGCGATCCGTTGGAGGCCACTTTTTCAGCTGCAAACTTTGCTCCCATGGCTCCCATGGCCCATCTCTCCCACATTCTCCAACCCAAAATGATCCAAACAGTTTGACACCTCTGTGAGCAGCTTCTGGGCATTGTGTGTTGAGCCCTCGCCGCAGAGGATTGAATCCAGGCAGGCCTGCATTTCTGAACCGTTTGATGAACCATGAGTCGAACCCGACCCAGGTCGATATCTGCCATAAGATATTATATATGGGAAGATCATAAAGTATCTTAAAAGCCACATATAGTAGGGAAGAGAAGCTATGTGGATATATGTGGATGCGGTTTTTGAGTTTCCCAAGAATGATTACAATCGACATGGCGGTTTTTCATGGCTGCATATGGCTGATCCGCCCTACGAGTACCGATGATGATTTGGGACAAAGGTCAGGATTGACTACGACCAAACAACAAGAAACAACAAGAAACATCCAAGTTCGAAAAAGAGATGCTATGGCTATGACAATGAAAATATGTTATGTTTTATGCTGTACCTTCTTTGGCTCTAGCATCACAAAAATTGATCAAGAAAATCCAAAGTATGCAAATCAAGAGTGCTGTCAAAAGGGAAGGTTGCGAGACTGTGTTCATCTCAATTCAGTTCTCCAATCGACCAGACTTGTGAGATTCAGATCATTCTGTCCAACATCCAAGAAGAAATGATGTCATCTGCCATTGTGTTATATTTTGTTACAATTTTGTCCTTATCCTTAGCACAGTGCTGACAACTCGCATCTACCCGCTACCATCCGTTGAACACTCGTTGACCACTCGTTGACCACTCGTTGACCTTGTCAATGACCACGTTGAAGTTGGCATCTGGGAGCTCCATGGAACGTCCGTCCATCTGTTTGTAGGTCAGGCCTTGTGGTGTCAGCAAGAGCAAGGCCAAAACCCTGGATTGTGAGATCTGTGAGATGTCGCCTTTGTTTCTAGGGCCTTTGTGGCAGACTTTTCGCTTGTCATGGCTTGTCATGGTCAAATGGTGTTACCTTGCAGTCGAGCAGCCAGGCTTGTCGCGGTACTTCTCTTGCATCGCTTTGATGACGGTCATGCAGAGGTCGATGTTGGTGATACTGTGATAGCCTTCTTCATACATCTCCTAAGCAAATGTGGTTTCTTCAAGAAGTGTGACAAGTTTATGTGTGTAGTTTCTTCTTGTCTTCAAACACCAACAAGTATTGTGGGTCCCAATGATTATCAATGATCCTATCGTCATTGTGGCTTTTGAGATTGACAAACATCATTGGTGTCTCCTCACTGAGACGGGAGTTGCCGCATCCGAGCATTAGGATTGCGTGGGAGGGCTGTGCAAACTCCGTGAAGGTCTCCTGGAAAATCACGTCACTGGACAGGCCGCAAGTGCGACAATCTGACAGCCGTGAAAAAGAGGGACGCTCAAAGACCCTGAAATGCTCTGAAAGACTTACAAAGTCACGAATCACTAAGATATCAAACAAACAGTCATTTTGGAGCTCTCAAAATTTGAGGCCCAAAAGGTCAATTTTTTCATTCAGCCTAGCCCTGCATTTTATTGCTACTTCGGCTCAGAAAAATCGGATAGAGAATCCCTCTCCTTGAGCCCAGCCCAGCGCTGATACCAATCGAAAGGTTCGGGATCCCTGGTGTAGCGCTCCTGGTGTCGCCGTCTTAAATCAAAACATGAGCCAATGAGCCACGCAATCAAAGGATATGATGGATATGTATTGTGTATTATGGTGTATTATGGTGTAAGATAAGTTGAAGCAGGGATGTGTTTTCCTATTTTCATCTAAACATATCTGAACCACATATTTCAGCAACGTTCAACGTTCGGGACGCTGGTCTAACTCTACTTCAACGACTCGACGCTCTGTTTCTCCGGCCTCCCAATATTCGGACTTTCCATATTGTGCCATGGCGAGTCAACCCTCTGTGTTTCCACTCAAACACCAAACAAATACGGAATATCCAACAGCAATGGCCGTGTTTTTTTAACAGTTCATAGACCGCGACTCGGGCTGGAAAGCCTGGAAAGCCAATGGCGACGCGTTACAAATTGACTTCATTTTGGCAACAGGACTCAGACTTTCAGAAACGATCAGCTTTCTCAAACTGGAATATGTGTAAGTGTATGTAAGTGTACAAGTTCTCAATGTCAAAAACTTTGCACTGATGTGAAACTGTGAGTGCAGCTAAGTGTTGGCTCCGATCCTTTCTCAGCGCAGTATGCGGTGCGTTTCGCATTGGATTTCACTCGGCATCCTGAATTTATGTCCTGATATATCCTGATTTCTTTCCCGAGAACGAAACCCACTCGTCAACTTCTCCTAAAAATCCGAGGTTTGATCCATGGCAAGATGGGGACTCTGAACACATGGATCAAAACTCCCATGCATTGTAGAAACACTCGCCTTTCAATCAATTCTTGGTCGAAATCCACCAATTGTTCTCTGAGATTTGGGTGATTTGGTGGACAACTTTTGGTGGACAAAAAAAAAAACGCGAGTTTCTCCATCTGACTACATAAGGCGCTCCTTTCGAGCGCAAGCTGTGACACTCTGGTGGGGTCACCGCTCAAAGCGTTGGATTTGGCAGATTCGGATGCTCCCTTTAGGAGGATCCTCTCATGGCATGGACCCACCGTGACTTGGCAGTTGAAGAAAGTGACTACAAAACTTTATACCCAAAAGTATCAAAAGATGTATGAAGTTGAAATAATATGAAATAACTGTCATCGAAAAGAGGCTTTCAGAATTTTGAAGCCAAAAAACGGTTCGAACGGAGGTCCAAACCAGGCTCAATGTGCATCATCTTTGGCAAAGAGATTGGATGAGGCAACGGAGTGTTTTACCTCCTGAAACATGACCCCCAGCACCGAGCAACAATAAGGATCTGTCAAATGTCGAAATGAGTTATATAAGCCGTGCGCTTTCACAAATCCAAGGGTTTCTGGTGGGTTGTGGTTGTCAGTCCACCTCTGAAATCGCGACTGGAAACGCTCTCACAAAAGGATAATGCTTGAGCTTTGTCTCCTGTATATTGTAAGTGTGACAAGTATTGTTTGACAAATTGGTCACCATTTTTCCAATGCGTCAGTGTGATTTCCTGGTCTCCCATATCGAGACGGCGCTCGAGACGGCGCCATGCCAGGGTGCAATCTGACAGCTGAATTCAGTGTGCCTGAAAGCACAGGGCACAGCACAAGAATGTTGAAGTCTCAAGACCATACACGGAACCCGAAGCCATACAAGCATGTAACTAGTTGGTGGTTTCAATCCCTCTGAAAAATATGAAAGTCAGTTGGGTTGATTATTCCCAATGGAAAAATAAAAAATGTTCCAAACTACCAACCAGGTAATGTACGCCAAGACATCACAAGTTGGCATCTAAGACGAAGACCAAACTTCCACTTCGATCTTCAATGTGTCTGGCCTAAAAGCACCTCACATCACGAAACAAACTCACGGGCAATCACTGGTCGCAGCTGGGGCGTGTCATCTGAAGGTGTCTTGCTGCGAATGAAACCTTGAACTCGATTGAAATATTTAATTTGATTAATTATATATATATAATTATATATATATTTATATTAAGTATATTCATTTATCTATAGTATATTTATCTATTTATCTATATCTATTTAGTTAGTTAGCTAGTTAGTTATTATATATAATAGGATGTGAGAAAGGTTCGGAGATGCATTGCCCAGGCACCGGTGTGCCCTTGTAAGTGTTGGGAGTCTCTGGCCGTGTACAGTACTGCTTACCTCGGTCTCGTCTGACGAAACTTTCGACCGCACCAAGGTATCTCCGAGATCGACCAAGGTCTGTGCGTCGCTTGTCGCGATCTCCAAACTGTGCTGCCTCGCCTGTCGAGCCACGAGAGGAAAGCGGATGCGGAAAGGCTTCGAAGATCCTTCGAATCACAAAGATGCCAAAGTGGATCGGAAACACATCTGCGGCGTGTCGACGTGTCTGAGATTCCACACCCAACTTCTTTCCCACCGCTGCTTGGCCCATACCGACGGCCCTGCCGGAGCTGGAAGGTGCATCTCTGATGTGAAACCTTGACATTTCTATATATTTCTTGATCCTCCAATGTCGTACTCGTAATGACACAAATGACAGAATTCTGTGATACTGTACAGTTATGTACAATTCATCCAGGAGAAATCGATACAAATCGGCTCTGAGCTCTCTGCTGCTTTGGTTTCCGCCTCTCTGCGGAGCCAAAGATGCCTGGCGACCACGCTGCAAACGCTCCAACGCTCTGTTTCTCGGGCTTCGTTCTGAGAATTTTAAGTGGACTTTGTCACAATTGTCTGCAAACAGAAGAGGCAAAGCTGTATATTGTGTATATATTGTATATGTAACACTTGTGCAGAAAATCGTGTCAAGCTGATTATGCTAGAAACCATCCATGTTGACAGAAAGCACACATGGCCAGTCTCATGTGAAAGGCTGATGTCAGTGTACATGCCGGCAATACGATCACACTCATCTCGGTTTTGAAGCTCCAAGGCAATCTCCTGTGGCACAATATGTGTGGGCAATGTGTTGGACCAAAGTTTGCAGGAGGATCTTGTTGGATGTTTCCATTGTCCTTTCAGTGGAACCAGTGGAACCATATTATAATTATGATAATGTTGTAGATGCAATGGGTCAGCAATAGCAGCCAGACAGCTTCAAGACATTTCAAACACACGGTGACATAATTTGCCCGTCCTTCAAGTCACGATCTTTGTTGACCATCATCATCTGCGCTTCCTGTCGGTCACGGCCCCTTGCACTCTTTGAAGAAAGTGGAGAGAAGTGAGCCCCTTCTTTTTTGAATAGTGGTTTGCTCAGTCAATTATAATATGGTGGCTTTCATGCCCCAAAAATTTGAATAGTGTTGTTTCATGCCCCAAAAGATGCCCCAAAAGATTCTTCCAACAAAGCAGCCAGGCGCGAAATCGGGAAGAATCGAATTGCGAAGGTACAACTGATTTCGGAGGTGTGCCATGCTGCAGAAAAGGTGTGCCATGCTACATACTCCGGCGGAGTTTCAACTCAAATGATCACAAATATTGCTACGCCCTAACCATCCTAACCTGCACCTGTTGAAGCACATATTCTATTTATTTCTATTTATCTATTTTTTCGTCAGGCTTTCAGAACTTGCAAACACACAGCTTGATGTTGCCTTGAGCAGGTCTAGTTTTTTTTGATACATCATGCAGTGACATACAGCTTTGCCTATGTTTGCCTTGATTATGTCTACCCATCTACCCACATCACCCAACATGGCACATGCTGCGAGCATTGAACTTTGGCCATGTCATGAATGTGGCCAGGGCCATGTGGCCTGCAAGCGCCGTCGCTGGTCGGAGATCTGCTTCACATCTTCCTGCGACATTTCGAAACACGGAAGAAAGATTCGGAAGGACATGTTTGACATAGTCATCATAGTCATCATAGTCATAATCTGATACTTTTTTATGGTGCCCCCCAATTAAACAGCCTTAAGCTGTCTGAAAGATGAAAAGTTAGGTCTATTGCAAGTCATGTCGTTTGCTCATCTTCCCAAGCCAAAGAGATGATGTGTTTTTTGAGTCGAGAACTAAAGGGATTCAAAAAACACCAGGCGTTGGACATACATTGTCATAAATTGTGTGGGTAAAACTTGGTAAAACATGCCATAAACCATCACCCAGTCATCACTGAGTCATCACCATTTAAATAGATGGTAGTTTTACCATTCCCAAATGGGTGGGTAAAAATGGCATTGTTTTACCCACATTGCTGCAGAGTCCTCGCGGCTCTCGCGGCTGGCGAAGCGCTTGGACAAATTCTCATGCTCGGCCTTCATCTCCGACTCCTGAAACGAAGTACGTCAGAAACAAAAATGAAAATAGCAGAAGTTGTTTTGTCCTGCTTCGAGTCGGTGGGGCTATACACTGCGACGCTGTTGCTACAAAGATTGAGTTGTTGAAAGCGTTAGCTTTGAGATGCTTTGAGTATACGTATATAATCGTATATACAGTAGAAGTAGTGACGAGTCTGGCCTTCATGTGGTTGATCTCCCGTGCTGCTTTGAACGCGGCAGCCAAACGCCTCAAGAGCCATGACGTGACCTATGACATCACATGACGTCACATGACATCACATGACATCACCAAGCACCAGCAAGTTGCAAATCGAATCTGTTTCACATCGTCAAATGGGACTTCTTGATGCCATTGGATGCCGTTTTGTCCTCGCCTCTGCTGCGCATTACCACCTTCCCAAGCCTCTTTCACAGCTTCCTCCTGTTTCAGGGACAAAGGAAAGGCCTAAAGGGAAAACAATTTGCCAAGAACCTCATCGGAACTTGGAATTTTGATTGTATTCGGCAGTTGATCCAACCACCTTGTCAAAGAAAAAGTTTAATCTATTGATGTTCATGATATCCTGCTGGTGAGACATGGTAAAAAGATGTAAAAAGATGTGCAAAACAACGCATATCTATTCTCTTTGCTTTTCTGCACTCAACAGGTGTTCTATCTTTATAAACCGTTCATAAACCGTTCGTAACCTTTCACTCTTTTTCATCTTTTTCAGTTCCATCTGGCCGCCAGATCCTTCATTTCTTTCCACTTTTCCTCGGTGGCTCTGGCTTCCTCATGAGCATCAGCCTCAGCTCAGCTGCTATCCAAAACACCGTCACGGCGCAAAAAAAACAGGTCGTGCATACCTCACAGTCACTGTCAGTGTATCTTTTCCATTCTTTTCTTGTCTCAAAATGATTCAAAGTGCATTTCTTTGCATCCAGAAAAACGGAGCAGTCTATGCTCCATTTGACATTTGGGTCTGCGACCAGATGCTGTTGCATCATATGCCTCTCTTCTTCCGCCGCTCTCTCCACGTCAGCCAAGCGCTCCTCGACAAAGGTGGCCAAGTTGGCGGAGATGCCAGACATTCTGGGCACAGTGTCTGCTACGATGCTGAGAATCGGAGTGTCCTCCAGTTCTGTCTTCACAGTGCTCAGGCGATTCTCAAATTCCTGACGCTGTGCGTCCACAGTGGCCTAAGTTCGGCGAAGTGCGGCGAGTGCAGCGGAGAGGACTCATTAGCTCTGTAAAGATCTGTAAAGCCTCCAAGCGCCCAAGGATCTTGCTGCATGATCCACCAAGAGCTGTGTCTTCTCGTCATTCCAAAGGGCAGCCTTCAACCAGGTCCAACAGGTCGTTGACAGGTCGTTGACAGGTCGTTGACAGGTCGTTGACAGGTCGTTGACAGGTCGTTGGGATTTGCTGGATTCTTCTCGCCTTGTGGGTCATCATGACCTCCAGAGTGGCAATCTCACCTCGGCGCGAAGTTGTCATGTTTTACACCATGTTTTAGTCTGCTTTGGGCCAGAAACAGAGGATAACAGAGGCAAAATGAAGAAAATGGACGAAGAATAGACCTACACACACTGTGCCATGCACACTGCACACCTCAGAGCAAGACCTTGGTGTCGCTGGCGCTCCTTGATTTCCGAAGTTTTTCAGCATCAAAATTCAAAACTAACCGTGGCAAAAAAGAGAAACCATCGACAAGCCGCACAACCCAGCATGAGTTGTCCATTTCAAGTTGTGCACACAGACTGTGAAAGAAGCTAGCCTTCAAGATGCTGTTGTGAAGTTGGCCTTTTGATTCAGCTTCAATCAACACTCAAATCACAGTTCCCAAATGTTCCCAACAGTTCCAGGTGAACCACGGTGACTTGTGTTTCGCCTCTGTCGTGATTACAAAATAACACACAAGTTGGACAAGTTGGACAAACCAACTTCTGCGACAAATCTGTGGTCCTCTTCAATGATGCGTTCAGACTCCTGACCTCAGCCCGCGAGTCTTGAAACTCGCGACCACCTCCGAATCGTCACTTAAAATGGTCAAAAATGGTCACAGATCGTCACAGATATTCTGTGCTTCCTGCGGAACTCATCGCCTTTCGCCCTTGCCTGTGAATGCGACTGAATTTGTGTTATTTTTGTGTGATTTAGATTTCCAGAAACCACGGGTTTTGTGTAGGTCTTTCTGGAAAGCATCCGGTTGAGCCTCGGCAAGTTGCGTCTGCAGGTCGCGTGCCTTGCATGTTTAAAATGTTTGGCAACGTATTCTCACAGCCACCCTGATCTGAAACCTCTGGTGAAGTTCAACAATCAAAGTGAAAACTCAGCAGTGAAATTCAGTGAACACTAGTGGAAGTGGAACTGAAGTTGCACAGACTCTGCTGGCTGTGCCATATCGGTGCCGAGCCTCTTTCTCCTGTTCGTGACGGAGCGAGTCGACTTGCTCTTGCAGCTCCTCTCGCACCCTGCCGTGCGCGTGCGCCCCGTGCAAATGGACACGGTTTCACAAATGTTTCACACAATGCCGAGAGTTTTCTCACGTTTTTTTCCATGTGAAAAACACATTTCGAGACACCTGTTGTCCACTTTTGTCCATTCTTTTCAGTGCCTCTTCTCGGAGGCTTCTGACTCTTGTTTCAAGAGCTGCAGCTGGGCCTTGGCCTTGCCATGCCGGTGCAAAGCACGGGTAATTAGCAAAGCATAGCAAGCACCATGTTCTTAAAGCGCTTCCAAAAGGTACTTTTCAAATGAGTCTATTGGAGGAGTCTTACTGTACATTTCTTGCATTCGTTTAATCACCAGTCGGTTTGAGGTTTGAGATGCCCTTTTCCGTTCTCAGTGTCTTTCATTGTCTTTCTAGAAAAAGACAACTTGAAGCGTTCGCAGAGAAGTGTTGACACCAGCAACACCAATTTCACACCTCATCGAGTAGCTGGTCTTTTTGTTGAAGCTCCTGGAAGATCATCTAGAAACTAGGAAACCGATGGAAACCGTCCAAAAGAGTCACAGGCTTCGATCGTATGCTTTCCATCTTCCATCGCATCATCCCCTTTTTTTCCAACATAAATCGACATAAAATCACCATTAGAATCATTAGATCATCATAAAATCACCATAATATCTTGGTGCATGTTCACCATGTTCGATGATTTCGATGTCTCAGCGGAATCTTCGGCTCCTGCGTTCGATGTTCCAGGTCTGCCTCCAGGCAATTGGTCCGGGTCTCTGCCTTTCACGGGACTTGGCCAAGCCCAAACACATGAGACATAAAGTGACATGAAGTGACATGAAGTATGAGTTAGTCATGGAGTGAGTCATAAAGATTCATAAAGTGCATGTGTTTTGAGTTGAGCTGGGCCTGTTCAGACTCTCGCTTCAGGCTCTCTCGCAATTCTCTGGCCTTGTCAAGTGCACGTCCAGAAGAAAGTTGACAAGATTCTCCGACAGGATACAATATGGCAAAAGGTCATTGTTAATATAATATTTATATAACTATATTATATATATATATGATATGTATATATGTATATATGTATATATGATATGTATATTATTGTATATTGATATGCTTTGGACATCTGACAGTTTCTGATGTTTCTGGCATCACTTGATGCGTATCATGGAGGCCAACTCAGAGGATCAACAGTGATACAACTGGCCTCGGCCATTGCCACATCTAGTGCGGCTTGCACTTTCTGCCGCTCCTGCAAAGTACTGGTGAACAGCAAAGACTCGTAGCAGTGTAGCAGCTGGTAGCAGTGTAGCAAAAACACACTTCGCCTGCTCAGCTGTTTTCACCAGCTTGGAAGCATCTTGCTGAGCCTCTTCACGAAGATGTGCAAGAATTGGAATTTGCTGTGAGGGGAGTGAACTCGGAGTGAACGGAATACAATGGCTGCAAAGAAATTCTTCAAAGATGGCTTAGCCTACCTGAAACGCTGGGCACATGCAGTCATGCATACACTCCAAACTATACAAGCCATGTTGAACCTATTGAGTGGAACCACCGTTGAAGGATGCACGATATGCAAAACACATTATTGTTTCAACTTTGAGTCATCATGTCACGTGGATACACGCCATTTACAAAATTACATCAACAACACCCCTTGACTGACAAGGCCAGCCAAGCGCTAGCATTACACAGTCTGCGAAGGGCCTCTGATCGAGCCGTTTGTTTGACCTGAATTCAAAACAGCTAAACAAGCGATATTCCATGACATGCCTCTTCTTTATCCTGATATCACATTTTTTTGTCGGGCAATGCATGTCTCATCTGGTTGATCCATTCCTCTGAGTCCACACGGAGCTTCTGTTGCTAAGCGTCACACCGATTCCAGCGTTTGTTCTGCTGCTGATGCGCGATCTGCGATAGTGTATGACAATATATGACAATGTTGTATGGAGGAGTAGAGGTCTGCACTGAACTCTACTATAGTGACATCTTCCTTTACCATCCTTTACCAACTCCTTTTTGGACTCGGTTGACGTCACCGAGGTTGCTCCGTGTCCCGTGTCCAATGTCCAAGGCCAGCCTTTCGCCGAGGCTGCTGCTTTTTCTGCTGCACTGGCCCGTGCCTGGCAATGCGAAGCTTGGCTTCAAAGGGTTTCGTGCAGAGAAGAGTGACATTATAGTTATATAGACTATATTAGATATTGATATTTAATAGATATTGATATAGAAATACGATTATTTAGAGAATCTAGAAGAATCAATAGGTCAATAGGTGATCAGAGTGTCAGCATCAAACTGTTTTTCGGCCTCTGCTTCCGAGACCTTTCCACCAGCCTGACAGCACAATCCCATGTAAGCTGCCACACAACTCGTCGACTCGTTGCCTCGTCGCCCTTAGAAATCCGTGTGTCCTGCAACGCTGCCTCTGCCAGCTGCTTCTTGGCATCCTCCAATTTCTTAATGGCTTCATCAGTGGACTTCTTGGCCTCACAGACACCCAGCTTGCTTGACACCTGACCCCCACCGACCTTAGCACCTCTGTCATCGAACAGCGAATGAAACAGTTGAGTGGTGCAATGTCTCTTAAAGATCCTTAAAGTATATGTTTGAAGAATTGTGGGTTCAATATGGTTCAATATGCTTCAATCAGATCATGTTCGATCCATTCAAAGAATACAGGAATCCGTTCCTGTGTGACTTCCTCCTTCTTCTTGACGAGTTCGGAGGTGTCTTTCTTCGCCTGGACCACGAGGACTTCTTTCACCTAGGGAAGACTCATGAGAAGATTGATGGTTTTCGAAGCAGAGATTTCCAATCCGACCATCCAGAGATTTCCAATGTCTGTGCCCCACAGTATTGTCTGGTGCAGAAGGCGTAGGATGTCTCCCAGCCTCTTGTGCACGTTGCTCTGCTGCAGCTTTCCACTCCAAAGCCTCGCGTTCAGCCTTTTGCACAGAGCCCTTCAGCCTCTCCACCTGTGAACCGCACAGAAAGTCAAGGAACGCAGTGCGAATCACAACCAATGTAACAATGCAATATGTTGCATGCCCCAGTGACATTTAGTAATAATTCTGTTGCACGGAGAAAAAATGCTTGAGAAAAACTCTTCTGACGTTCCAAATTGCAGCAAGTATGCATGATATCACAGGCAAGCATCTTCAGCGCAGCCAAGCTATCAAATCTATCAACTCTGCCCTGTTTCTTACTGTGACCAGGGAAAACATACATTCTCAGTGAAGACGTTGTGAATCACCGGTACATTTTGCAGCCTCCGGTAACGGAGCCGTTAAAGCATGTTACTTAAAGCAACCATTACTGACATTTCGGGAGGGGGGCCTACGATAAATCTTGTTTGAGCTAAGAACTGCAAACCAGAAATATTGCGAGGGGAGCTTGAGATCTTCATCTGGTGCACTTGTGAAAAAAATTGGCGTCCACCACATGAACTCTGAGTAGAAACTGTTTCTGGAGCCGGCAAATTGTCACCCCTGTCTGCGTGAAGCACGGCGGCAGGGTGACAAATTGTCAATTTTTCTTTGACACCAAAAACAACAAACCAGCAACCACCAGCAACTGGGAGACAGGGTGTAGAGAACAAGCAGTCTTCCAGCACAGCTCCGCTTTTTAAGCAAATCGCAGGCGACTCATGCTTCAAAAAAAGATACCATCTGGTTATTTAACAGTTCGCCATGGAAAATCACCATGCTATTAATGGGTAAATGGATACATCAACTATTTCTATGGCCATCTATACCATGGCTATGTTAGTCATAACCAGATGGTAAGAAGTTTAGCTTGGAACATCCCAATCATCCCAAGAACTTGAACCTGACTGTGCTGCCACGCCTCTTTCACCTTTGAATCCAAAGCTGAACGTGCCTGCCAGCGTGTCAGCACGTGTCAGCACTCTCAGAACCACGGGAGAGTGAAATTGGATCCTGACATATCACTCAATATCACTCAATATCACTCAATTTTGTATGATTCTGAATTTAGGGACTATATAGGGACTATGTGACTATGTTTCTGTATCCAAATGATTTGAAATGTCTGGACCCCTGTCTTCTGTCTGTTTCCTCGTGGCTCAATACTTCATTCGATTCGAAGCCGGTTTCTCTAGCAAGATCTGTTCACATCCTTTGATTCCAAAGTGTAAAAAATTGAGATCCAGCAATGTTCGCATTGGTCTCGCAAAGGATGTCAATGGTACAGAGCTAGACCTGGGTCTGGCCTCCTGCACATCTGCATTGGCTTTCTCAGCAGCCTTGCGGATCTTGTCTGCCTGCGGTGCTTCAAAGCTGACAATACATTTTTTCAATAAACAGTCATCAACTTGCTGAACATGTCTGATCAATAGAATCTGAATACACCTGTCAGATCCTGTCAGCAAATATTTATGGCCCATTTATGGCCAAATCCGACAACGAAGCAAAGATGCCTCACTCTGAACGGCATCCTTCTCCTTCTTCAGTGCTTCAACCTGCTCACGGTATTCACCTGGCATCAGCCAGGAGTGTTTGTTGAACACTTTGTAGCTGCAACCAACCAGGGCTCGCCTCTTGTCTTCTCGGCGTCTTGGACAGCCTGCCCCGTGACAAAGGAACAGAAGGAAGAGTTCAATTTTCAGAAAAACCTGGCTCGCAAGAAAATGCAACAGCGCCACAGGCGGCAAAAATGGATGAAGAACGCTGGTTTTGCTGCTTGATTGATGATTCTTGAAGCTATCCTTTTTGAGCTTTGTGGAGCTTGAGATCTACAACCACAGGGAATGTATCAGGTTTCAAGAGGAGCCAGGCTGCCTGTTGCCATTGATGACATTGTAAAATGACACACTTACAAAATGGGAAAAACATGCGCAAAACCCATCAAATGTATTCAAATATGATCTTTTATTGAATTGTCTTCCGACTGAGTAGACTTGTGGACTTTCCCTGTGGCACACGCCCTCAACGCCCAAGCGGCAGAGGCGGAAAATTCCAGGCGGACAAGCCACTAAGCTGTCACTATGCTCAAGTCGAAGTTGAAGGAGTCGAAAGGGCGAAGATCGCTAAGGAGCTTTGACCCTTTGACGCTTTGACCCAGCTTGACCCGTTGTCAAATCAGCTTTGAGTCTTTTAGAATAGAGTATAGAAAATAATGCTTTTCCAGAGCTCAAAGACTCATGACTATCATGACTTTTTTTTTTTTGGCACTACCCGGTGCTCTTCTGATCTTTTCATATTCTCCACTTGGTTTAATTCCTGTTCCATCCTGTTCCTACGTTAAGACAGCGGTGAATCTGCGGTGAATCCACGTTGCCAGAGCATTTCAAAGCTGCGTGCTGCAGGCTGTCTGGATCCTCATCGGAATGGTCAAAGTTGCAGCCAACAGAATCTAGATACATGGTACATGTCACATATGTCACATGTCGAAACAAAATGAAATAGAATTTCAATAGAATAAATGGAATAAATAGAATTTCAATAGAATAAATGGAATAAATAGAATTTCAATAGAATAAATGGAATAAATAGAATTTCAATAGAATAAATGGAATAAATAGAATTTCAATATAGAATAAATGGAATAAATAGAATGCCAATAGAATAAATGGAATAAATAGAATTTCAATATAGAATAAATGGAATAAATAGAATGTCAATAGAATAAATGGAATAAATAGAATTTCAATAGAATAAATAAGAGACATTTGAATCATCTGACAAGACTTCTATGATCTATTTGCTCGTCTGTCCTGTCAGGTGATGCTGGTGGATCCATGCGGAAGTTTCGAGAGAGCCCTTGTTCTTCGCGTGCATAGCCTCAACCAATTTGTGCCGCCGCTAAACTCGAAACATCAATGGATTGGATTAGGGGAAAATTGTGAAAATTTACAGGAAAGCCCCATGATCTTCATGGGAAAATCGATGGTGTCCGGTTAAGATTTTCCCGTGAAAACCAATCCATTGAGAAACACCATCGAAACCCTGCAGTTTTTGCCAGCGGATGAAGTCAGAAAGTCATCTCCGAACTTGGATAACTTGGGCATTGGCCGATTGCATCTTTCACCTCGAAAGATCTCGAAAGTAGCCACTGTAACCTGTTGCTTCAACTGGCTGACAAACTGTGCTCTCAGGGCAGCACTGCAAAGAAGAAGGCGCCACCTAGTAGCTGTGCCTGAGAAGCTGGTGCGTTTCAGTTTTGGAACTGTAGTTTGTTTTATCATGTTTTATCCACATGTGGAGTGGTGGCCTGGTAAATTCGGCATAACAATCAAATGGCACCCTATCTTTTCAACGCCCTTGGTGGAATTTTGTTGGCAACCTAACCAGAAACCTGAAAACAGGGGCTACAGTGGGGATCCACATTCAGGCAAGCAGGCAAGCAGGCGCGAGCTGATGAGTTACCGTTGCTGGGAATTCGGATTGAAAATCAACAATTCATATAGTAATTCATAATATGATTTTGGTGATTTACTGACTTATAAACTTACAATCACCCAATCACCAATTGTATCCAATTGTATTCATATTCAATCTGTTAGTGAACCCTTAGCGGAACCATGAAGGATGAACCGGAAATGAACCGGAAATCGCTAAGCCGCTATCCCTTCGAATCGCGGCGTGGTAACCCTTCCTGTCACATTTTCAGAAGCCATGACGGATCCGGCTGGTGCTGGTAGAAAAATGCTAACATGACTGGGGTTTTTGTTGATGGGATCCATGGAGCACCATTTTTCTAGCACCGTTAGGATCCGTCATGGGGAATGAATTCCAATGAAGCAATGCTCGTCGACTCGTTCTCCATTGAATCGCCGTGGCACGGGCTCGCCAGAGGCTTTGGATCCCAGAACAGGCGCATCAGGCTTTTCGCAGGGCAGCAACTCCACATCTAAACGAACCTTAGCGATCCAGCGTTGTGGGAGCTACGCAGATTTTTTTGTGGGAACCACATCGTGCCAAAACTCATCAATTTTTGAACAAAACTCATTTTTCGTGAATTTCAGACATTTCTGATCCAAACCATGGTGCTGGAATATCTCTTCCGCTGGGCACTTTGTAGTCCTGAGCTGAACGCAGAACAGGTTGCCCGGTTGCCCGGTTGCCTTCTGATTTTCCGAACCTGACCTGACCTGGAGATATCTGGAGATCTAACCGTCCAAGATCGTCCAAGCATCCCAGGTGCCACAGTTGATAAGGCGTCCATCTTTGCCTCGACTTTCCTCTTCCAAAAGAGAGAAACCCAAAGCTTGGATCAAGCTGCCCTGGCAGGTGAGAGTGGCCCGATCAATCTGCCGTTCGGTTCCTGATAGCATTGATAGCCTGATAGCAGTTCTAAGTGACGGTTGTCAAGGATGGTTGGTTCATGTATGATATGCATGCTTAAAACATGTTAAAACCAAGATCTCTCCCTGGTAATTGGTTGTAGGATGTTTGCATTCTGACTAGCCACCTCGATCTGGCCAATGTCAACGGCAGGATTCAAACTTTTGCCGCAGTCCTCGGGTTCACAAAATGACATAGTATACACACACAAACAGGTATGCGAGGGGAAGCGTTCCAGTGAAATGCAGTGCATCCTCCCATGGAACAAAACAAGCGGTCGATCCAATTCAATTGGTTGCATCTTTCTGTGAGATCTCGTTTCCACAGATCCATGAACCCTTGACCTCAGAAACTGTCATTCTCACAGATGCTTGCTAAGCAACATAGAAGTTTCTGAACAGGACAATCCACTCAAGCTGTGGTCCAAGAAACATAGACCAAATCGAAAGAATTCACTTGCGTCTCGCCCGTCAGGACATCAATCTCTACCTACCCATGATGAACCAAGAGCTTCTCATTGCTCTGGAAAGTGGAAGCGAAGCTTTGGCCAAGGTCAACAGTCTTGACTCTCTCACAGCAGCCCACACACAGAAACGAGTACAACGTAATGACGCACTGCTCATCTTCTTGTTTCTTTCGGAAGTGCCTGAGCACAGCCTGCACTGAAGAGGCTGTAGTTATTCCTCAGTCATTGCTGCAGTTGCCTCCATGGCTTGGTTCTGTGTGTGCCAACTGAAGCCATTATGGTTTCATGAGAAACTTGCACTCACTTGTCATATGTGCAGCTTGGGCATCTCAGCATCTCGTACAGTACTGTGCACAAGCTGCACATCTGTCATGATGACTTACGGTTGTCACGCTTGCCACAGCCAAGTTTCACATGCGCCTCATCAGTGACACCAGCCTGCAGAGTTACTGGAGAGTGTTGATTGATGTTGATTGTTATTACTGGTTCACATCTGAACGGAGCCTCCGAAGAGTTGGCAAACTTAGTTGGTTTTTTCTCTGTTCAATGTTGCTTCACCTCCCTCAAATTCAATCCCTGCGACTCAACAATGAGCAACGACACCTACTCAAAGCATCTGATCAAGTCAATCGACTTCCACGCTGTCAGGCTGTCAGCCAAAACGTTAGCGCATCTAAAAGAACACACTTTTGTCGCTTTTGTGCCTGAGATAGTTGCGCGCCCCCTTTGACTGCCAATTGAATGACCTCCAGCTGGTGGCACATTCTACATGGGATCTTCATGGATGCTACGCTTTTTCGCTGCGATTTGTGAGACAAACCATGTCTTCCTTATGTCCCAAAAAGTCTCCAAAAAGTGTCCCAAGAGTGAGCACCTCTGTCCAGCTTCGGCCAGGTGCAGTAAATTTCTGCAGCTCCTGTCGCAGATTCGGGACATCGGGGACGTACAAATCGTACACCACCGGGCCGAAAAAGAAAAGGGAAACGGGTCGGCTTTGTCCTTGTGAAGTTTGTCGCAAGCATCGAGAATTGCACTGACCTGTAGTGGCGTCGCTGGCGTCGAACGTTCTCGGAAGAATCACAGCATCCGCAGCATCTGCCAGACGATCCAGACGCACTGAGCTCTGCGGCTACAGTTTCCGAGGTCACACTGCTGAAGGTTCCCATAACGCCTTGCCACAGGATGCCAACGGTCTACACAACAAACACATCACGGCTCATGACAGAGCATGACAACTCATGACAACCTCTAAAACGTCCAAGTCCGAGCAAGTCTCAACAGAAGCAAAGAATATATCAACAATACAACACATGCAAGAAATGGTTCCCACATTTGATAGCTTTGCAAACCCACTGGATACATCTGGATACATCCTTCAAACGGAGCACCTTTCCAGCTGAAATCCTGAGTGCTCTTGGGAATTCGAAGCTGAATGTGATCCATGCTGAAGTCTGCCTGAACAGCGGAAAGCGGTACACGTGCTGTGGCAATGGATAGGTTTTGATTCGGTTTGTGCATCTTGGAACTATACAAGAATTGAAGTCAACACATCTTAAGTTCAAGGGACAAAGATAAACATACTACAAAAGCAGAAAAAAAACTGTGGTTGGTCTGCCATGTAAAGTCATCAATTTCTGGGAAAGTTCTGCAAAGGGTCTCTTTGAAGTTTGGGAAATGCGTTTGTGCTTTGAGTCGTGTCTATTCAATCGAGAAACTGTTTCGCTCTTGGTGCATTCTTTCTCAGCTCTGAGCAATGATCCCAACACATCTTAGATGAGTGTTTCTCGCAATTACTCCTTTCTAATTGTTTTCCAAGTGTCTTATCAGTTTTATCATTTACATGACAAGGAAAACACGGAAAATATACCTCTTAGATCCTGTCTGTCTATATCTATATCTACTATCCATTCGGCCAAAACACCGCAATCTTCCGCAATCCCATGGTCAAGGCTTGCAGCGCTTTGGTGTCCATGCCTTGACCCACCTGCACGGTCAGAAACTGACATGTTTGACTTGCTAGCTGTGCCGCGCATGTTAGGTCTTGCAACTACCAAGTCAATCAAGTGATATCAAGTGCATCTCTGGAAGAAAACAAATCGTGTTGTATATGTTGTATGATCCTTTAGGTACATTTAGGTACTCATCCTTTTTCTGGAAGCGGTCCAAAGTTTCACGTACCTCCAATCCAGTGTGTTCCAGCAGGACGGAGCCATCATCGTACACCCTGGCACTTCACAAACATAAAAATTGCAGAGAACTTCAATGTTGATTCAAACAACAATGGAAATTCTCTGATTGCGATGCGCAACATGGCCTAACAAAACACTTTTCCATGAAAGAGTGCGGCTGCAGCTGGTAGCGAGACCCCATACCTTGGCAAAATGCGAACCATTCCAGTTTTTGCGACAACGGGACCTTGCAAGAGGTGGTTTTTCCAATCGACAAAAACATGAAAATTGTGAAAAAAAAAGGGTTTTATGTTCATTTTGGTTCTACGAATTTGCCCAAAGCCATAAATGCTGCTGCATTCCAAGAAACAATAAATGCCTTTCTTGCGATATCCTCAGACCATATCTGTGTGCAATTGGGTGCCAAATGTGTGGCATGGAATCGCTTTCAATGAGAGTGCCGGCATCAAGCCGACTGCGACACTGATATTGTGGCAAACTGCCTTTTACTCCACATGCGCACAGGAAAAATCACATTTTGGACACATTCCAGCATATCCCAACACCTTGAAATATCGGATGTTGGTGAAGTTTGAATATGAAAACCACATTGCAGCGACTCCGGGCGACCTTGCGCAGCTGCAACTGCCACAAGATATGCAAAGCAAGATATGCAAAGCAAACACACCAAGCGATCCAAGCGCCACGCCAAATCAGTTTAATCGAAATCCATTCGACATACGTCGGATACGTTTGATGGGAAGTTTGATACGAAATTTGGGACGTAGCGACGAAAAGTGAAGAATCCCACACAGCCATGCGGGGAATGAAATGCGCACATACAAAACTTCAGACATTCATTCATTCAAAAAAATGTGGGTACATTCGTACATACATTCTGACATATGCAACCACACATACATTATACATACGTACGTACGTACATACCTACATACCTACATACAGTATCATACAGTTTTACATTACCTACATTACCTACATTACCTACACTACCTACACTACCTACATTACCTACATTACCCCTAATTACTGCTGCCTGTTTTTTTATCTATGTTGTTTTGATTGGTATTTGCGCGCGCGTTTTATCTGTGCAGCGCTCTTGGTCGAAAGGAAACCAATGCCTGTGTTGGGGTTGGAGCCGAAGGCCCTGCAAATCGAGGTGTTTCTGTGTGGCGATGAACTCACTGCATACCCTTCCCGTCAGTCAATGCCACGGTGCATAAAACGTTTACCCTTCCCGTCGTGTCGTCGTGGCCAGGGGGCGGTTCTTGCTGTTGAAATCTTTCACCGCTTTGAGAGTCTCCTCGTAAGAGACCTTTGCCTTCAGCCGCTGCCAGGCCTGTCCAGGTGCATCACTGCAAAACCTTCTCCACAGAGACGCGCGTGAAGTTCTCATCAGTCACAAAAAATCGCAAAGGCTCATAAATACTCAAATCTCATCCATATAACTCATTAATATAACTCATATATATATATAACATTAATATATAATTATAAATCATATTAAATCATATTAAATCGTATCAGTAAAAAAAATCAATGACATCAGTGTCGAATCGCTCGGTCACCGGGGTCACCGCCTTCTGCATGCCTGTGACCATGTTCAACTCCTGGACCTCCATGGGCTCGCGGCTCACAGCTCGTGCCACCTCGACGCCGTGTGACGCTCGTGAAATCCCTCGGGAAAGTCTGGGAAGTTCCTGTTGAAGAAATCTGTTCTCAATTTTTCTCATCTGAATGGAAAGATGATTGGAAAGATGATGAAAGATGCTCGATTTTTCTGAAGATCTGCGAAAAAACATGAAACTTAACGAATTCTTGCTAGCGTTAGGCATCGTATTCGTCAAAGCAACTCATAGTGTCAAGATCTGTCGTCAGATGTCGTCAGTAAAGCACCTGTTCCATGATGGTTTCCATGATGAAAGCTCCTTCGAAGTCTCCAGGTGCCTGTTTTGAGCAAATAATGCTTGGAAAACAGCCACGCCACCCCAAATGGCGGCGCCAAAACCAGGTCTCAAATTATTGGATGATCATGAAGATTCGACTAGAAGCTACAGGGATCTACAGGGCATCGCAGCCATCGAAGGCGTTCTGCCAAGATGCGCGCATCCAAGTGTTTACTGGCAGATTTGTGATAACTCCTGTCCCAACGATAGCCCCTCACAAGCTGTGAACAACTTGTGCGAAAACAGCAACCAGGATCCAAAGCCATAAAACCGTCAGGACATGTAGAACGCCCTTGCTCCTTTACAGTGCAACTGCGCATGAGGGATGTCGTAGCAATTGACCTTGGCAAGAAAATGCAAGAGATCTAGGGCACAGGATGAGACTTAATTTAATGATGTCAAGTGCAACTGAGCCACGCTGGACGCTTGTGAAAAGCCCAGCATGTCAGTGCCGACGTTCTGCAGAACTTCCTGTTGATGCAATGAGCATTGTCAGTGTAAATATCCTTAAATATCCAATCCTCTTCAGGCAATTCTCTGACGGAAAACACCGTCAAGAAAGCACCGGTCAAGCGTTTGCTTGGGACAAATCTCC